CTAGGACGCCCTTTTCACTTAGCCACCAACACTATGTGGAAGAAAATCCAAGTGAATTTTGTAAGGTTCCCACTTCAGCTCTTAACATCTCCTGTCCTCTTGCTATGATTCCTAATCCTCTGTCATCTTCAGTATGGTGACTACACCTGTTCTATGATGAAGCCGGGTCCACCCTCGGAAGACGCAAGTCTAGACCTCGTCATGGTTACCGCCCTCAGCTATGCAGCTATGGATTGGTGCGATCATATGTCACTCAGAGCGAAGAGTTCTGCCGATTGGAGGCACGGCATGTAGACTGCCCAATGGACACAGAAGCAGAGGCCAAGGGGCGGGCTTAGGCGATCTGGGGCGGTTTTAAACTGACAGTCGCTTGTCAGAACACTAGGACTTGTGTCCAGGCGTGTCCTCTGTTGAGGACGTTCAGGTGACTTGTCAGGCTCAAGCAAATTACATGGAGGTCGCCGGACAGCTAAAACCAAGGATATGCGGCGCAGTCAGCTCCTGAAGAGAAGGGCGGCAGTTGTAGCAAAGCGGTTGGCGTCTCCCCACTCCGCGTCGGTGAGTCCTGGAGGGCAGCTGGGACCGGGGTCGCCTCTGGCCTTGGCGGTTGGGGACGCGACCTTTAGCGCCTTCTGGCTGGGGGAGGGCTGTAGACAGGGCGCGGGCCTAACGCTGTCCCTACTTGGTGGATGACGGGGAGGTGAGCGGGCATGTGGACATGTAGGATGTGTGGTCCATGCCCACCCCAGGCTGCCTTCCTCCTGGTCGGGTCCACGCTTTTGTCCCCAACTTTCCAAGTAAGTGAAAAGCAGTCTTAAATACAAACCACCGTCACCTCCTAATCCAGCGCCTCTTTGGCCTAACCATCAATCCTGAAACATCCTTCATCCCAGCCCATATCCCACAGCGCCGACTTCCCCTTTCCGAAGCATTATCAACGATTCATTGCTCAGGCACAGTTCTAACAGACAGTATTGCATTCCTTTTTCCTTTTTCAAAGGGTGCTGAATATTTCTCTGTTTGTGCACATATTTCACAGCAGAGGAAGGCAGAGGAGAATTCTTGGAGCCCTTTTTGATGTCTCTGTGTGTTTTTTCTTTTCCTTCCGCTTTTTTGTCTCCTTGCACTGGCACCTGATCTGAAACATTTGGATCATCTCTGGCCGTTTAGTTCTGGCCCAGGGCTTCCTTGTTGACTTCATCAGGTGCCCACAGCTGCCCTGGTCTGTTCAAAGCCCAGTTCAACACAGAAAGCAGTCGCTGGACGACTGAGCCTTACACCTCTGAAGGGATCTGTCTTTCTTAAAGTCTCTGTACATATAAATGCTTCTGTCCCCATACTGAGGTCCTCCTGTGTGTTGTCTTGAGATGGTCAGGACACATTTAATGTTATTTTTCACATGGTAAAACAGTAGGAAACATACGTTCACATTTCATTCTTCTATTGAAAATTGCTCTCTGTTGGATAAATATCCCTCATCTCTTATGTGTATTGGAGGATTGGTTTGTTTTCTAGTGTTCTTTTAATTCCAGTTGGACTTTATTGTATAATCTCCCTGTGGCTTCTCAGCTGTTGATTTAGTGGAATAATAACAAAATGCATTCTACATGAATGCCTGGGAAACTCATGTTCTCCTATGTCTCCCAAGAGTGGAGTCTTCTGTAATTTAGGATTGTGTGATATAGAACAGAGAATATGTGGGGGAACATGCTCTGAGCTAAGTCCTACAATGGGCATGGAAAACCCCTATTAGGTGGTGTGTATTCCATGGGCAATGCTCATTTCAGTATTTTTACTTGAATGTGATTCTGATATGTGCTGCTCCACATTGTGCTGAAAGTTCTGATACAGCTAGGTGTTACATCCCATGGGTTTTTATTGTTGTTTTCTGGTTTGGGGGGCAGTACTGGAGGGAGGACTCAGGGCCTCCCACTCCTTTGAGAAAAAATATGCATCTGGCATCTCTTCCCAATGTAAGAGTCACAGTGATGCCTCCTAGCAGCGCTCTTCCACTTGACCCATGCCCCAATCCTTTTTGCACTGGCTATTTTTGAGGTAGAATTTTGCTTTATCCCCAGGATGACCTGCTCTGTGACCTTCCTATTTTATGATTCTCCATAAAAGCTGGGATGACAGGTGGGTAGCACCCATGTAGTCATTGGTTGAAATGAGGTTCTTGCAATCATTTTGTCCAGGCTGGCTTTGAGGCCACATCTTTCCAATCTCTGCCTCCCAAGTAGCTGAGGATTTCCCTTAGTTTAAAGCATACACGCAGAGTACCAATGAGACTGGGTTTGTGATGCCCTTGGGTAAATTACTCTCAGCTGGCTGGTTGAATATCTGTTAGGCAGAGCACCAGCCTAATGGGCAAAAGCCCTCAGTTGATCCCCAGGACCAGGAAGGGGTGGGTGAGAGAAGAAACACTGAAGAGTACAATAGACAACAAACACAAAGTAGAATGCATAGGAAAAATGTTTTAACAATAGAAATAATAAAAGGGGATAAATGCAGAAGGAAAATGACAGAGAGGAGGAAAAGTCCATTTATAGAAAAAAACAATGAAATAAGATAAATCAAGGGGTACCCTCTCTTGGAACCCTCCCACCCTCTGGGGATCTCTCACTTTACACTTTCAATCTTAAAAAGTATCCTGCTTTACTAACAAATAAAAAAAGATAATAGAAAAACTATGAGAAATCACTAATAAAGATAAAGAATAGATAGGAAAAAATTATCTAGCCACAGTTCCTCTGGGTGGTAAATCTTCCAGGTCTTCTAAGGTTGGAATCTGCCAGGGAGATTGTCAGTCACTCATGCAAGTACTTCTAATTAGTCTCAGATTCCACCAAATGAGCTATAGCAGGCTGTAGACTGCAAGTCACCTTTCTCTCTGAACAGATTAGGAATATGCTGGTGAAACCCAAGGAATTTTCTCTCTGGAGTCTTTTAGGTTGCATATTCAGCTGTGGCATATGTCAGCTTATAGGGCACACTTCTTGCCAACCAAGGTTTGACAGAAGGTGCACATTCCATGCAGGTGTAAATGTACCCTGACATTTTCAGACTATGTGCTTAGGAATATTACCATAGTCCAAACCACAGTGCATTGCTGGAATTCAGCAAGGGTATGGAGAGCAACTGAAGCACCAATTGGTATTGGATGGGAGGCTTGTGGGGAGCAAATGATTACCTAGTCTCCATCCTAGCAGATCTCCAGATCCCACTTTTTGAGAAAAAATATACATCTGGCATGGCATCCAATACACAGGGCAGTGTTGCTGATTGGCTGTACTGCACTCCATTTCTCTCACAGCCCATGAAGCCCAAAATTGTATGGGTGCTTGTGTCAGAGACACTCCCCAATAGCCACAAATGGTTCACATGGCCATTGTATCTCAGTAAGTGCAGAAAGGTTGGGTGTACGTAGGAACCCTGCAGTGTGATTCTGCTGGGTTTGGTGATCCCAAGGGCAGTTCATTCCCTAACAATAGGACCTTTCTCCAGATGGCTCTTGGCTATAGCAGTCAGAGTTTCCCCTGAACTTTAATAAGTTTGTTCTCCAGAGCTACCTCATTGTGCAAACTCCAGATCGCCTATTGATTCACTCATTTTCTGCAATGTGCAGTCTTCTTTACTATGCTGTGATTCTTTCTCTGTCAACTTTAACTCCTCCAGGGGGGGAGTTCCCTTTCACCACCACAGTGCTAGGTGCCACTAGCTAGGGCATTCACTTGGTTTGCTTTGTTCTTCTCCTTAGCCTCTTTAATCAAGCAAGTTTCCTTTTCTATGTCATTGATTTCCAGAATCCAACTGCAGGCAATCATCTCTAGGAGCAGTTAGTTACACACCATCCCTTGAAATAGCCAAAATAGTGCTGAGTGTTTCTATTTTGACATTTTGAAGCCTGACCATTAATATTCATACATTTAAATATGCCCATCCATTTCATACGGTGTTTTCTTTTTCTTTATAAGGAAACATGCTGACCTTACATGCACAAGATGTTTGTGACTTCTCAAAGTGTTCACATTATATCTACCCCATTTCAATGTGTACTTTATTGTCATGGACTAGAAGGAATTATAATGTGTGCTGTAGCTAGATCCAGTTTGTTGTCATCTTGTATATTAAAGAGATTGTGATTTCTGCCACTAGTGTACAAAGCCTGTCAATTTTCAGAGTACCTACAGAACCCTTAAACACTGTCCTCCTTCCTCGTGATCTGATTATTAATCCCTCAATTACTGGAGTCTTGAATAGTGAAGAGTGGTGGCTTTGCATTTCTGTGAGAAAATACCTAAGACAAAAACAAGTTAAAGGAAGAAAATTTTATTTGGGGCTCATGTTTCAGTCCTTCTACAGCAGAGATTTCTTGGTGGCCCAGGTGCACAATATCTCTCAATGGGACTTTTCCTCTTAATTTACCATGTACACATCTCTGTTTATCTACAATTGTCCATGATTCACACTTGAAACATCAAAGTTTACTCAGCTATTTGCCTAGAAATCTGCCTGTTGCTCTTTCTAATTTCTATTGCATAGGAGTGGGCAGTGCTAAAATTTAGGGTGTTTTTTGCTCTGCTGCAGTGATCTGAAGAAATCTTTGGTAGATGTAAAAATCTGAGATATACCTAGCTGGTGCTGCCAGGTAAAGGTACAGCACAAAGGCTTCAATTTCTCATTGTATAATGGGTTTGTGTTGTTGGAAATATTAGATGACACTGGGTTTGGGCAGACCGAGAAGAGATTAAATGTTTGGTTCTGACTAAATATATTGTATCAGGTAGAAATAATTAAATTTGATTTTCTCTGTGTATGTCAAACATGCATCATTCTATCCCAAGTAAATCCCTATATTGAGTACCCTGGTGGACACTCTTCAGATTTATTTACAAAGGCTTTTCTCAATTGGAAAGACATAGAAAAATAAACATGAGTATGTGTTGATGGAATGTTTTCTCTAACAGTATTTGGTTACTCAATTTAGTGATTCTTAGGTATTATATTTTTTCAAGGTAGAGTTTGCTCAGCAAAGTCTTCTTCATGGTGGTCTTCAGTTCCTTGTTTCTGAGACTGAAGATGATGGGACTGAGGAAGGGTGTGAGGACTGTGTAGGTGATGCCCATCAAAGTGTCTCCTTCCAGGGACTGGGGCCCCTTGGTTTTGAGGTAGATGACAGAAGCAAAGCCATGGTGCACGATCACCACTGTGAGGTGGGATGCACAGGTGGAGAAGGCTTTGTGCCACCCTTCAGCTGGTGGGATCCTCAAGAGGGAAGTCACAATGAAGGCATAGGAGAGGAGGATGAGGAGGAGGCAGCCCAGCATGGCTGAGATACACACTAGGCCCACACCCTTGGCAACCAACAGCACATTTTTTCCACAGGCCAACTTCAACAGAGGTGTCATGTGACAGCCAAAATGGTGGATCTCATTGGGGCCACAGAAGGTGAGGTTGAATATGGCTGTTGTGACCACAGTCCCCAGCATGGAGCCACCAACCCAGGACCAGGCCACCAGACAGGCACAGCCATGGGGGCTCATGAGCACATTGTAGTGCAGTGGTTGACAGATAGCCACATAGCGGTCATAGCCCATGACAGTGAGTAGGAAAGAGTGGGTGAAGCCCACTCATTAGTTGAGTCTACATTTACACTTTGAGGGAAGACATAAATATAAACAAATACAGTGAACCATTTATGCATGGGTTCCACATCCTCACATTCAACCAACTGCAGACTGAAAACATCTGAAAAGACTGGCATCTGTGTAAACATGTAAACAGTTTCCTTGCCATAGTTCCCTAAACAATACAGTATGACGACTCTCCACGTAGCATTTATATTGGATTAGGCATCCTAAGTCATCTAGACATGATTGAAAGACTGTGGGAGGGTGTGCACAGTTTCTGTGTGAACACTGTATAAGGGATATGGGCATCAAGAGCCTAGTGTTTGTGAGAAGTCCTGCAACAAATCACTCATGGATACCGAGAGATGACCATCTGAATTAATATATAAATATAGTATATATGCTATATGCATATGCTCAAGTCTTTTATACAAAAAGGTATAGTATTTGCATAGAACCTACACACATCTTCTCACAGACAATACTTATTTATTTTGGTGATACTGGGGTTTGAACTCAGGGCCTCATGCTTCCTAGGCAGGTGTTCTACCACTTGTGCCACTCTGCCAGTCCTTTTTTTTGCATTGTTTTTTTTTTCAAGGTAGGGTCTCCTGAACTATTTGCCTGGGCTGGCTTCGAACCATGATCCTCCTGATCTCTGCCTCCTGAGTAGCTAGGATTACAGGTGTGAGCCACTGGTGCCTGGTCTTGACTCTTCACTTTGTCTTTGTAAAATGGAGTTCCTAATAACAGGGTTATTATCAGGCTTACATAAGATTTTGCACATAATATGCCTAAGAGAGGGCCTGGAATAGACTCTTAATAAATTGAGGATAGGCATGGGTGTCCAAAACCAGTTCTTTTAAATTGTAACAACCCAGGAGTGCAGTCTCAAGATGGGTCTGAGGCAGAAGTTACTGGCCTCAGGCCTCTGCCCCCACTCCACGTTGATCACCTGCATTTCCCTAATGTTAACGAATTAAATGAGATGAAGACGCAGAATCCAATTATTTGAACTTGAAACCAGAAGAGGCCCAGCTTTCCTTCTGTGTTTACTCACAATGTATGGAAGGCAAAACAAATACTTCATATGCATTTCCAAACTGCAAAGAATTTCCCTCTAAGAATGCAAAGATGCCAGTGCGAGGTCCAACTGGGATGGACAAGAGCCAATCAAATGTACCCTTTCCCTCTTTTCATCTGTCACTTCCCCACTTGGGGGCTATCACAAGGTACTCTATCCTTGATGACTTGCATCTTCTGTGTACCCTTTGGAAACTGTTCCTCCATCTTCCCCACCACCACGGCCCATTTGTTATCCCTATAGTAGATCCTAAGCATCCTAGAATCACTTCGCCCTTTCCGCTAGTTTAGCTCAGCGTGGGTTGAACCCTTCTGAGGCTCTTAGACCACCATTTCAATGATCCATGTGAAAAGTGTGTTACCCAATAGATGGTGCTATTTGGGGTCAGTGCCAAAGGACATACGCATTGCTGCTGTTTTCCAGAACCTACTACACCACCTGCTCACAAAGAGGGCACACACTGAATTTTACATTATGGATGTCTTATTCTGGCGGTTTCTGACCCGGGGGTTCTCAGACCCTTGGAATCTCTGCAGTGAAGACTGTCTTTGTCATGCTGATGAGATGAATGGTGACAAGGGACTCCTGGGTAGCTTCAGGATAGAGAATTCTCAGGTAGCATTTGCATTTGCCTTATTAACAGCAGACTCTGCTTCTCAGGCACTTATTCTGTATTGTTCATTAATAGCTTATAAGCAGTGTTGGGAGGTGGGGGCTTTTAAGAAGAATTTAGGTGAGGAGGTCGGGGCCTTGTGTATTAATGCCCCTCTAGTCAGGGCATGTGGTAGTGAGCTCGAGTTCTCTTGCATGAGCTCATTCTGAGGTTGGATTGAAGAAGAGTATCTTTAGCAGGTGAAAAGGATGGGATCTTGAACTTCCCCAACACCAAAACTGTGAGACAGGAATTTTCTAGGGTTTTCTTTTGTTTTGTTTGTTTTGCAGTACTGGGATTTCAAATGGAGTTGGGCTTCCTAGTTAAGCTCTGATCCTCAAACCTGGCTAACTTATTTTTTACCAAACACCCACATTTAGATATTCTTTTACATGCATACAATATTGACCAACAAAATCTGAATGGAAGAAAGAGAAGTGAGGGGTGCTCTTACAAGTACTCTGACATGGCAGTGGCATTGGAACTGGGTTATGGACAGATGCTGGAGTGTTTTGATATGAGTACAGGAGAAGCCATTATTACTTTGAGTCAAACATGAAGGGCAATTTTGATGAGATCCTGGGGAAAAAAGCTGTTGGGAAACCTGAGTCCTCATACATAAGTGGCTTTGAATAGAATGTTGATAGAGATACAGACAGCACAGGCCACTTCCATGAGGCCTCAGAAGGGAGGATGTCTTGTTGAAGACTGGGATGAAAATGGCCATCCTTACTACAATGTGGCAAAGAATTTGGCTAAATGATTTCTGAGTCATAGAACTTCTGGAGTAGAGAACTTCCAAGTGATAAGGAAGGATATTTGGTGGAAGAAATCTGAGCTGGATGATGGTTTCTTTTTCTGTCTTCTAGAAAATGGTAGAAAGAGGAAACCATGTCAGGATGTTATGCTGGGTGCAGTGATGCACACCTGTGATTTCAGCAGTCCAGAAATTGAAGTTTCCTGGGCTACATTGTATTACCCTGTTCACCCGCAAAAAGTTCTGATATCCAAGGGGAAGTAGAAGGTGAAGAGCTGAAAAATTCTCAACCTAGCTTTGTAGGGTGTGTGTGTAAATGTTTGTGTACACACTCACGCACACATATAGGAAAAGGAGGTGGCATCAATGTAAATTGTGTGGGAATGCCTCTAGTTAACCCTGGTGAATTCAATATAAAATAGCATACTATAGTGAGAAATCCTGAGTAGATGACATGTTGCAAAGTGTTCACTTAGCCAACATCTAAGAGTGCACCCAAAATCTTAAACTTGCTAATGTAGCCAGGCACCTGTGTCTCTCACTTGTAATTCTAGCTACTTTGCAGACTGATATTGGAAGGATCTCAGTTCAATGCCAAATGGGTTAGTCATTCATTAGACCCCACTTCAACATTTCTAGAGAAAACTGGACTGGAATTTTGGCTTTAGTGGTAGACCGCTTGCTTTGTAAGCACTAAAACTTGAGTTCAAATTCTTGACCCACTGAAAACAGATAACGTATGTAAAACTGTGACCTTATGCTCTTTGGATACCAGGTATTATTCATGATTGCCTGTGTTTACAGAAAAGGCTGTACCTAGGAACACTTCCATCATGTCTCTATTACATTTTCTTCTCATTCCCCATTCCATGAGTTTTCACCCTGGACCACACTGGATCAGCTTTCCACTCCCCCATTTTCAAATCCTGCCTTCTGACTTGTGCAGTAAACATTAGAGCCTCATATTTTCCAATAAATGTCCATTTCATGCCTGAACTGGGGCCTGGTTTTCCACTGAAGATCTCAGTACTAAGTATCCACTTTTTTTAGACAATTTTCCTTTTCTTTCTTAGTGCACTCTGCCCTTCAGGACTGATGAGAAAACATAACTGTCATCCTGTCCACTGTGCTGCTCTCAGACCAAAATCTTCCTCCTCCTTTGTGTCTTTCAGGCCAAGTCCTCTCACATCGACCATTACCTTCCAGTGACTGTTCTTTTCAGAAATTTTCCTAGCCATTTTGTTTCTTTCATTAAATTTTGGTCTCAAAACACACACACAATAAAAATTTGACCTCAGTATGTCCATTTCCTTCTTCACGCCTGTCATTCTCAGGGGTCAAGGGGATTTTGCTTCTCAGTCATTTCATGTAGCAGTAACTTTTTCATCTCTACCTATTCCCTAACCGCAAATACCTATACCCTTCTCTTCCACCCCAGTTTCCCAGGATTTTGGTACTTCCCACTGGTCCTTAGATCCCATTCTTATTAACGCTTCAGCTCATTTATCCTAACACTTTCCTTCCTTTCTAGCTTATATTTCATGATGCATTATTACATACAAATATACTCAGTGTTCTGGCCCTTTTTCTCTCTATGCTGTATAAGTTTTGTAAAGTTTAACCATTGGCATGACTTTTCTTGCCATTTCCATGAAGGGCAACCTAGCTGAGGAGAAGAACCAAAATATCAGACTTCAAAGTTTCTTGACATGACTCCATCATTCCATATGTTTTAGTGACATTTCATAAATTTCTTTTTTCTTCCTCATTTCAACTGATCACCCAATGTCATGACCATTGAAATCATAGGACAGAAACATTTTCTTCATCTTCAAAATTGCAGATCTAAACCTATCCACAACAGTATCTAGCCGCTTCTTCCTTACTGTTAAAGTGAAGGACCTATTTCTCCCTTGATCCCAATTGGTGCCTCCATGCCTCATTCAGATGTCAGCTGCTCTCACTTTATAATGTACTTGCCCCATCAGCGATGTTGGAAGGTAGCCTCTGTCATGCCCAGGTGGATTGGGTCCGATCCTGTGATGACTCACAGATTTTTATTGCTGGAGCAAGTAAGATTTAAGAAGTATGTGTGTAGTTCTTTTTACCATCTTTCCATGGCATCATGTGGTGTGCATGACTGTCCTGGCTGATGTTATGAAGAACATCAATCTGTTAAAAAGAAAGACAAAAGCCTGGTCCTGATTGGACACACATACACATACACAGACACACAGACACACAAATACAAACACACATACACACTCACACAAACAGACACACACATACGCACACATACACATACAAACATACACATGCACATACACACATACACAAATACACATGCACATACACAGAGATGCACACACACGTGCACACACACAGACACACAGACACACGCACATACACACATATACACAAATACACACGTACATACACATACATACACCCCATACCACTCACACACACATACACAGACACACACAAATACAAAGGTGAACACATGCACATACACATACACACACTTACACACATACACATACACACACAAATACACACGCACACACACACATATACATGCATGTACACACACATACAAATGCACATACACACATACACACACATACACAAATACACATGCACATCCACACTCACATATACACAGATACACACACACACATACACACACAGATTGACACATACTTACGCACACATGCACACACACGTACATGCATATACACACACATACACAAACACACACACATACACACGCATATACATGCACCCACAAACACACTCACACACACATAGACATACACAGACACACACACATACACACAGATTCAAACACACATGCACATACACACATACACATGCATGTACACACGTACACATGCATATACGCACACAGACACCACAGACACACAGACACACATACACACACACAGATAAACACACACGCGCACATACACACACATACACACATACACGCACAAACACATATACACACATACATATGCAGATATTCACACATACACATGCACATACACACATGTACACACATACACACACACGCACACATACTCACATACACACACATGCACACATACACACGTGGACACACATATACATATACACACACGTACACACACATACACACACATAACAATACACACGTGCACACACACACATACACACATACCCACATACACACATGCACATGCAAACACATACACTCATATACGCACATACACACAGAAGCACACACATGTGCATGCACACAGACACAAGCTCATACACACAGATACACACACATACACATACACACATACACAAACACACATACACACACATACACAGACACACGTACAAATGCATATACTCATGCACACACACACACACACATGCACACACACACACAAACATATACACACCCACATACACACACATGCACACATGCACATACAT